GGGCATGGGGGGGCCACGGTCCTCATCTCGCGTGGGCGGGCTCCGAGGGGGGTCCCTTCAGCGCTGTGGGGAGGGGGCGGACACCCCGGCTCCGCCCCACGATCAGGGTGCTGCCTCCTGGCGGCCGAGCGCTACCAAAGCCCATGACAGAGATGGATTGGGGCTTTGGGGGTTGATGTGGGGTCACCGAGAAAATGAGGATGTGGTAGGGAGCGTAACATCTGAGAATGGGGACACAGAGGAAAGGAGACTCAGAGGAGGGGCACCCAGGACGGGAAGGGGGTGAGAGGCTGGGGCAGAGGGGCTGACAGAAGATGGGGGCCTGAGCAGGCAGGGTGTCAGTGGGAGGTGGGGGAAGAGGTCAGCTACAGATGAAGGGGGTCAGGAAGGTTCCACACCTGTAAAAATCACTCACGTTTATTAAGCATGTCCCTTGTGCTAAACAGCATTTTCCTCCCACCCCTGTGACCCACACTTACTACCCCATGTGACACATGGGGAACTGGGACTGCAGGGGCCTTATGGGCTCGAGGTCCTTGCAATGCCTGGCTAGGATCAGGGCTGACCGTCTCAGGGCCGTGATCTCGACTGCTTGCCATCCTGTCTGCACTGCGTGGCCAGTGCTGTGGATGAGGGCCGACCGCTGGAGGCAGGATCCCTCAGCACTCCACACCATAGCGGTCAAAGTGACGAAGCAGCAGGCCCAGCTCAAGGCGCACTGTGCCACCAGCGGCTGTGTGCAGGCGGTAGCGGTCGGCCCCACTGTAGATGGTGTCCGCATGCAGCAGCTGCGGCCCTCCACCCACAAAGGCCCTGGCCAGCTGCTCCCGCCAGCTGCCCAGTGGCCGCCATGTGGGGCAGTCCAGCTGGTGGGTGCCTGGGCTGCTGGGCACATGGCAAAAGCCATAGCCCGCGAGCTGGCAGCGGCCAAAGCTGTCCTGGGACCACACCTGGAGATGGAGCCGGGGCCAACCTGCAGGACAGGATGGAGAAGTAAGGAGGGATGGTGGGGCCCAGCCTCCTGCTCCTGGGTCCCGTCCCCCCCAACCCCGCTCCTGACTGGAGACCTAGGCCTGGCCCTTTCCCCTGGGGTTTCTGCCCTTGCCTCCTCTATGGCTTCCCATCCTCTTTTTCCAACCTGCACAGTAGCATAAGGGATCTGTCTACATCCTTTATGTTCCCCTGCTCGGAAGCCTTCCATGGGGCCCCAGTATCCTCATTGTAAAGTCCACCCTCCTCTATATTCAAGGCCCTGCATCTGGCCTCTGCTGACTTGCTGCTCTGTGGTCTGCTTCTCAGAGTACCTTCCAGGGAAGCCTGCCGTTCCTCTAGTCTCCACATCAGCCCCTTGGGCCCTGTCCTGTATGCCTTCTGCCTTTCCTCATGGCCCTGCCTCATCTTCCTTCCAGGGCTCAGGGCCTTCTTTCTCCTCCTGTCCCATCTACCTCCACTTGGCAGCCAGAAGCTTTTTGTTTTTCTCCCTCCCCACTCTGAGGATTGAACCCAGGGCCTTAGCACTGAGCTACATCCCTAGCCTTTCTATTTTTTATTTTGAGACAGAGTCTCACTAAATTGCTCGGGCTAGGCTCAAACTTCCAATCCTCCTGACTCAGCATCCCAGAGTCCTGGGATCACAGATGTGTGCCACCATGCCTGGCTGATTCTCCCCTGCCATAAGTCTGCCAGTGTTCCCAGAATGTGGTTCAGCTCCTCATCCCTTAGAAACCCAGGCCATCTCACCCTCTATTCTGAGCCCCTCCTTCATTCGAGGCCCTGTTCTAGGACCTAGGGACACAGTGGTGAACACAGCAGACAAAAATTCCTGCCCTAGACAACGAACATAGTAAATAAGCAAATTATAGGTTATGTCAGATGGTGATAACTGCTCTGGAGAAAAATAAAGCCCAGGAGGTTGGGAGTGGGGGTGTGGTTTGGAAAGGAAGGGATCAAGAGAGCTTCAATAAGAAGGTGACACTTAAGCAAATACTTAAAGGAGGGAAGGGAGTGCGCTGTGTGGGCATGAGCCCTGGTGGGGCCAGTGTGGCTGAATCAGAGAAAGAGAAGGGGCAGAAGTGACAACAAGGCCAGGTGTGGTGGCGCATGCCTGTAATCCCAGCACTGGAGAGGCTGAGGCAGGAGGATCGCCGCCAGTTCAAGGCCAGGTTGGACTACATAGTGACACCCTATCAGAAAACAAAACAAAAGTGACAACCAGATTGTTCAAGGACCTGTGATTCATGATAAGATTCTGTCTTTCACCCTGAATGAGACAAGAACCACTGAAAGGTTCTGAGCAGAGGAAAGATGTGTGCTGATTTAGGGTCCCCCAGAGCCCTGCTGGCTGCGTAGGGGCCCAAGCTCCAGGGGCTGGGGCTGGGAGCACAGTCAGGATGCTACTGACTAATCCAGGTAAGGGAGGAAAAAGGACAGATCAGGTGCTGGGCACAAAGCGGGTGAAAAGTGGAGGTTAGGATAAATCTCACGTGGAGAGTTGACAGGATTTCCTCAGGATAGAATGGGGGGCTGGGGACCTGATGAGCAGTAGGACAGAGTTCTCTGCCTCACTCTCCAATTACCAGCAGCCAGAGAAAGCTTTGAAAAGTGAAACCTGACTGATCCACTGCCTGCTGTGGCTCCTGGTGCCTTAGGAGATGGCGGTCAAGGCCCTGCACAGTCTGTCGCCTGCCATCCTGCTCTCCCATAGCTCCCTAATGTCTGCACTCACACTTCCCTGTGAGCCTTCCACACACTAAGAACCCCGCCTAGAACTCTCTTCTGGCCTTCGGTCTCATTAGCTCCTCCTGGCCCTTCATGGGAAGCTCGTTCTTTCCTCCCCGAGGAGACCCTCCCAGCCTCTGGACAGGCTCAGACACCTCTTCTGGGCTCCGATGGCCTCCACAGTCCCCCCTCCCAGTCCTGTCCGCTCTGGCTGGCCCTGTCTGGAGATAGGTCTGTCTCTCCTGCAGGATGGAGCCCCTGAAGATAGCAGGCGAACAGGGGCTGCTGTGCAGGCAATCAGTAAACAGCACTGACATTGCTGGAACACGCAGCACCTCTACCCAGGCTATTTCCTGGAATCTGTTGCATGTTCTATAGAACCGACACCCCGCCTCCCCCAAATACTCACTTCCCCTTTGAGCAGCCTGTGCCTTCCAGCTGAGGAGCCCTTCCTGAGGAACAGCAACCAGCCCGTGCCCTCTCCCTCCTTCCCTACCACCCCTCCTTAACCTTCATGAACCCTCTCTCAGCTTCTTTATTGCAGAGCCCTGCATGGTCCCTTTACTTGAAGGCCACTCCCCCTCCCCGGCCCTGACCCACCCCTTCCCAACTCCTGTATCCCCGGACCCTGGTTCATCTCACTCCTGTAGCACAGGCCTGGGAAGGCCTCAACTCAGCCTCTCCAGGGCAGGCTTGGCTACCGGGGACCCACAAAGTATGGGGAGCAGGACAAGATGGGTTGTTTCCAGCACCTGGTACCCACCTTGGAGACCTTTGGTAGCGAAGTGCAGGTCAATTGGGTGGGACCAGTAGGCCATGTCCCCCACCTGGGGCGTGTCCACCTGTGTCTGGCCCTCCCGCACTCCCGACAGGAGCTTCCACGCCGCCCCTGTGGTAAGGACAGAGTCAGAGTGCTTTTAGGAAGGGGATCCCCTGTGGCTCCAGGCCTGCTTCCACCTCATATTTCATGATGGGGGTGAGGGTTACAAAGGATGGGCTCTGCGGCCAAGTGTCTGGGTTCAAATCCTGGCACACTCTTCTTTCTGCCTGTGCAACGTTGGGCAAGTTATTTTTCCCTTCCTCGTTTCCCCTCTACCAAATAATGTATTCTATAATTTTGAGAAAATTCAGTGAGTGGAAGATAAGTCTTCTTGGTTGTTGTTGGTTATTTTTGTTTGTTTTGGTGCTAGGGATGGAAACCAGGGCTCTGTGCATGGTAGGCACATGCTCTACCACTGAATGATGTCTTCAGTTCCTGTAACATTTTATGATTGCCCTCATCCCATATTTAGAGGCTGGGCCAAGGTTATTCTCCAGAACATCATGAAAGCAGGTCTTTCTTCTCTTTTCTTTTTTCTTTTTTTAGACAGGGTTTCGCTGTATAGCCCAGGCTGGCTTTGAACTGTTGAACTCATGGGCGATCCTCCTGCCTCAGCCTCCCAAGTGCTGGGATTACAGGCATGAGCCTACTCTGAGAAAACAGGTCTTAATAGTGACCCTACTAAACCGGGGATTTGGCTCAGTGCTGCCACCACCTGCCTCACAAGCACAAGGGCCTGAGTTCGATCCCGAGTACAAAAAATAAAAAAAGTGACCCTACTAAGGAGTTATAAAATAAGGAACACACCGAGTGCCTACTAAATGCCAAATACTATGCTAAGCACTTTATTTTTTTGTTTTGTTTTGTTTTTATGCTAGGCACTTTAAACAATGCATTCATTAAATCGTCCCCCTGGGATTCTTAATTCCTACACCATGCCCCAGTTTATAGACTCCCCAACGTGGCCCACAAGGCCCTGCATACCCTGGCTTGTGCCCACCTCCCTGAGCTCATTTCCCGCCACTCTTCCTCTCCCTCACTACCTGAAGCTTTACTAGCCCCATTCATGTACTTGTACCTCGGAGCCTTTGCACTGGCTGTTCTTTCTGGAATTTTTAAATCCTTCACAGCTCAGCTCAAGTGGCACTCCTTAGGGGGGCTTCTCTCTGACCCTCCTATTCCAAGACTAGTCCTGGGCCAGGGATTTAGCTCAGTGGTGCCACACCTGCCTCATAAGTGCAAGGTCCTGAGTTCAATCCCTGGTACCAAAAGGAAAAAGAGGGAGGGAGGGCAGGAAAGAGAGAGAGAGAGAGAGAGAGAGAGAGAGACAGAGACAGAGAGAAGAAAACCAAGACTAGTCCTTATCATAAAATCCCATTTTTTCTTCTTAATAATTGCAGTGATCTGTAATCATTGTGCTTGTTTCATTATCTGCTTTCCCCCGCCCCTTCCTCTCTGAACTCCAAGAGGGGATAACATCTGCCCGGGGTCACATAGCACATGAGTGAAGGGGTCCAGGCTGAAAACCAAGCCTGACTCCAGAGCCTGCCTTTTATCTGCTCATTTGGAGGATCTCAATTTCCCAGGAACTCGCAACTGTTACCCTACTTCCCAGTAAAATCAGAAAAGACCCAGGCCTGAAAAGATGATAACAGCAATAACCACCTCCGTTTTATGGGCACTTATCTGTGACAACACACACAGCACTTTACAAACAAGACCCTATCAAAGCGTTTTGTGAATCAGGCAAATACTCATTGAAGACTCCCTAGTCCAGGCCCTAGTCTAATGCTGCCGATAATCACTTAAATGTTTACTTTTTTCTTTTTTTTTTGGTGGTGTGGTACTGGGGGTTGAATGTAGGGCTTCATGCTTGCTGGGCAAGCACTCCACAGCTTGGGCTGAACCCACCGCCCCTGCTGATAATCATTAAGTCCTGAGGACAACCACTCAATGTAAGTATCATTATTATTCCCATTGTATAGACAGGGAAATCAAGGGCAACACAAGATCAAGATCCATAAAGTCCGCGATCACATTATCACATAAGGAAGCAACAACTGGTTTTCAACACAGGAAATCCGTGCTTTTAGCCTCAATCCTGTGCCACCTTTTAGCTGCTATCGTTTTCAGACAAGGAAACTGAGGCTCAGGGAGGTCAAGTCCAAAGCCTCCCAATTCATAGGTGGGGAAGTTAGTATCTGAACCCAGATCTGGCAGCTTACGACCCTGACCATTACACTATCTGCTATACACAGAGCCTCAGAAGGGGAGGCTTGAGAACCAGGGCTTCCAAGGTCCCTCCTGGGCCTGTGTGAACAGACTTGAGTGAATGCTACAATGGAGTACACAGACAACCATGAAAACCAGGGTGTCTTCTCAACTGCAAATCTGGGATAGAAACTTTACTTTGCAGCAAGAACTCAATAAATGGAGACTATTAAGCAAAGACTTGGATGGGGGAGGGGTCCTAGGGCACCCCTGGGACTGTGGGTGCAAGCCAAACAGTAGTTAGGACTGCCTAATGTTAAGAGGACCGGAAGTGGAGGGCCCTAGCCCACAGGCCCTATCCCTAGGAGCTGTCAGTGTAGAGGTTAGGAGCCAGAGCCGCCAGAGGCAGGATGGAAAAAGATAAGAGGGAGACGGATGCAGTCTGGGCAAGAAGTCCTGACAGCCAATGACAAGTGAGGATCCGCCAGGGAGTCAGAGAGTGAAGGAAGGGGTGTGGAGCCCTAGGCTGGGGGAGCTTCTGTCAGGGTCAGGAGATGAACCAGGCCTGGGAAATACCTGTGTGGATGCCCCACTTGCAGAAGAGGCTACTTTCAGAGAAACCGGTGGCCCCAATGATCTGCCCGATCACGTGCACCTCAGCCATGGCCCTGGGAGGGGAAAACCAATAATCTCAGCCATGTGAGGTAAGTATATTATTATTTCCTTCTGAAAGATGGGGAAACTGAGGCCCACCATGTAAAATGCAGTACTAGGATTCCAAGCTAATTTCGTCAACCTACTGACGCTGCGGTCTAAACCACAGATCCTAATTGCCTCCCAGGAAAGCAGGGAAGAAACGGGGGTGGAACCCCTGGGCTAGGGAACTGGCGCCTAACTGTCCCCCGCCTAAAATAAATACCCCCCCCAAAAAAATAATAAAATAAATCTACCCAGCAATCGGGGAAAGGCCCCGCCCTAGGTAACTGACTCCGCCCATAGCGCACAATCCCGCCCCTTCGCGTCTGCCCAGCTCCCAAGCTCCAAGAGGTGCCTGCGTCTGGAAGGCAGGGCCGATTAGGCACCGCCTCCAGGCGCCGCGCATGCGTTACTCTTACCTCAGGGCTTTTAACCGTTAGGTTAGGCAAAAGCGGCTGCGGGGATTGTAGCTCATGGGCCTAACCTGTCCTCTCCACGGGCGCCGATCAGGACTGACTTACGCCTCCCCCAGGGCCTTTGTAGCAGCGAGCGATTTGAAGCGCAGTTCTACGCGGGCGCGCTCCTCTGGGGTGCCCTCGGTTGTTGCTGTGGCAACAGCAGGCTCCGCCCCCGGCTTTATGCTAGCCCTACGCGCTGGTGGTTGGTGTTAGCTGCCTTTGGAGGCGGGGACATGGTGTGATGGACATTGTCTTTCCCTCTCGTTCCATTTTGGAAAAAGTGTTTCACCCACCCAAAGTTCAGCCATTGGGGCGTGGCTGGGCAGCTCCATCTTGATTGTGGCTGTTTGAGCGGCAATATTCTGTCAGATACCGTCTACACGAAATCAATCTTTCGTTGTTCTGTGCCCACCTTGACAAAACACAAACAAAAACGCTCCCGTCCAGCACCACAAGTCAGAACAGAGCCAGGACCAAAGGCAAAGAAATCTCATACAGAGACAGGAGAAGCTAGGGAGTGGGTCTCCCGATCTGAGCTCCTTCGGGCTTCTGAAGGATCTGTTAGTTTAGCTTCTTTCTCAGCTACTGGTAAATCCAGTTGGCACTGATTCTGAGCACTGCGGATGGGGTTAGGATGAGACGTGAAGAACGGTATTCCTTTGTCTACAGAAGGTATTATTTTCTGGTTTTGTTTTTTGCGGGGCTGGAGATAAAACCAAAGGCCTTAAGTATGCCAGTTAGGCGCTGCCCCACTGAACTACATGCCCAGCCCTAAGACACCTGTTTTCCAAATCTGAGCTCTGCCAGTGATCTGAACTATGACCTTGCTGGGCTCTAGGTCTCAGTTATTTTACCCACGAATGGGCACACATACAAATAGTCTGAATTCTGGAGCAGTGTCTTTCCCACTCTAAATCCATTTGAATTCTGCTCCTTCATTCCTCCAGCCCAGACTGGAACAGCAACAACATACTTCCTTGTTATTTAGCAAAAACAAAACAAAAACAACCACTACCCCCACAATAAAAAGCAAAAGTTTGCATTAGTGGTGGTGTACACCTGTAATCTCAGCACTCTGCAAGGCTGAGGCAGGAGAATTGCAAATTCAAGCTAAGCCTGGGTAATTTAGCAACTCGGTGAGACCCTTTCTCAAAATACTTTGTTGTTGTTTAAGGTAGGATCTCGCTATGTAGTTCAGGCTGGCCTTGAACCCACAACAATCCTCCTGCTTCAGTCTCCCCAGTGCTGGGGTTAGAGGACCATACCACCATGCCAAGTCACACTTTTTTTTGTTGTTGTTCTGGGGTCTGAATTTGAAACCTTGTGTTTGCAAGGCAGGTAGTGGAACCACTGAGCTAAATCCCCAGCCCAGGTCACACATATTTTAAAAAGGGCTGAGGATGTTGCTCAGCGCTTCACCAACTCCAAATTATTGAAAGGAAGGGGGAATATATTAATATGATAACATTTACATAAGTCAAATAATTCATTTTACTATTATAGCCAAACTTAAAAGCTACTCTTTTTTCTTGGTACTGGTTATTTGAACCCAGGACCCTATAAATGCTAGGTAAGCACTTCACCATTGAGCTACATCCTCAGACCTTTACTTTTATTTAATTTTGGGGGGACCAGGAATCAAACTCAGGACCTTGCAGTGCAGCACCACTGAGCTAAATCCCTGGCTTCCTTCCCGGCCCCCGTACTGGGAATTGAACTCAGGGCCTTGCTCTTGCAAGACAGGCATGTTGCTACTGAGCTAAATCCCTGGCCCCCCCTTTCTTTTTTTTTTTTAAATGGCATTTAGCGCTTTCTTTTTTTTCTCTCCTCTCTCCTCCCCTCCTTTTCTCTCTCCTCCCCTCCCTTCCTTTATTCTCTTTTCCCTAGTAATGGGAATTGAACCCAGGGTCTTCACACTGAACTACATCCCCCACCTCCACTCCCGTTAATTTGAGAAAAGATCTAGTTGAGTTACTGAATTGCCCAGGCTCAGTTTGAAATTGTGATTCTCCTGCTTCAGCCTCCCAGTGTGCTGAGATTACAGCCATTTGCCACCATACCCATCTCTAGCCTTTATCTTGATTGCATCTTCCTGAGAGACCTGGATACAAAAATCACACAACTAAACTGTCTCTTGATCCCTGACCCACTGAAACCATGCAGCATGTAAGTATTTGTTGAGAACTAGTCAGTCTTGAGGTCAGTGTTATCTTGCCTCAGGAACCAGAAAGTATGCAGAAGGCCACATGCCCCTGGCTATGGGCAGAATGCCGATAACCAAGCACTCATGAGGCAAGACAGCATCTGCTGAGCACAGTTGTCAATATATAGGCACTTGAGTGCAGAGAAAATCTGGTTCCTCCTTAATTTAATCCTTGTCCATCCATTCTCTGTAGTTGCTGTTCCATGAAAAGTGTGCTGTCCCTCATCCTGAACTTCTCACTGACTAATAAAAGTGGGCCAACCATGGAGTTTTATTGGAGTCTGTCTACTAGAGGCTGGACTCCTCCCAGTCCCCCCTTTATATCTTGAAAATTACCTCTGTCTTTTTGTATTCCTCATCATTCCCCTCAAAATGTAGCTGAGGGTCTGATCTGCCCTTGATGTTACTTTAAGCTATTAAATTTTGGGAGTAGTTTTTCACACAGCAATAGATAACTAATATAAATATGTAATGAATTTAGGGCACTGACTGCAATATAGAAAACACTACATGTTTGCTTTGATGTTTCTCAATTTTGATGTTGTTACTCAAATAATAGTTTATATATCTTATTTTTACAGAAACACATTATCATTTATTTACTTGTACTTTTTTTATTTAAAAGTTCTTTTGGCCAAGCCTGCTGGCACACACCTGTTATCCCGGAATTCGGGAGGCTGAGGCAGGTTCAAGGCTAGCCTGAACTACATAGTAAGATGCTGTCTCAAAAAAGGGAGGAGGGTGCTGGGGATGTAACTCAGTTTGAAGGTTATGAGTTCAATCCTTTGAGGATAAAAAAGTTCTTTTAAGCTAAATATAGTGGTGCATACCTATAATCTCAGCTATTTGGGAGGTCAAGGTAGGAGGACTCTCAAGGCCTGCCTTGAGAACTTAGTAAGACCTTCTCTTAAAAAAGAAAAAGAAAAAGGAAAAAAAAAAGATGGAAAAAGAAAAGAGAAGGCTAGAGATGTAACACAAAAAAATTACTTTAATTGTGGTTAAATGAACATTACATAAATTTAGCAACTTCATCATTTTAATTGTATAGTTCAGTAGTTAACTATAGCTAGCTACATTTTTGTGCAATCGAACTTCAGAACTATTTTTATCTTGCAAAACTGAAATTCTCTAGAACTTATATAGAAGAAATAAATGTAGCTCTCAACATGTTAGATGTTAGATATGCTGAGTTTGTGTTCCCTGAGGTTGGAGAATGAATTCTAAGGAACAACAAAGCTTAAAAGTAGGAAAGTTTATTGGAGTATAGGAATGGGGAATAATAATAGGGAATAGAAATAACGCCCGAGAAATAGGAGGAGTCCTGACTGAGTTGCCAATAAGCCCACTTTTCTGAGGAAGTTTTATAGAGCAAAGTCAGGAGAGGTGGGCACAATGGAGGTCAGATTATAACCAACCAATAAGATTACAAGTAGAATCACTTAGCTAATATGGATCCAATAGTAGCAAGGGCCTATGGATGACATCACTAATCTTGGTTGATCATCTATAGTCTTAGTCTTGTCTTTAGTTTTAGTAGTCTTAGTCTTAGTGAACGTGAGAAGAAGGCCCAGCTCTAATGAAATGATGGTTTATTTATATGGGAAATCTCAAAAGGGTGGTACCAATAGTCTCAAACTTCCTTAGGGAAGCATGTAAATCTGGCCTTTGTGATTTTAATCTTCTTCAGATGCACCTCCAGTTTTTGAAGTGTTCTCATACTCTGCACTGACTCCCTCCAGGGCCCAGCTCTGTCTGACTGCCTACAATATTAAGGCAACATTACGACCTAACTTAGCTGTCTATAATAGAACCATTATACAATTCCCCAAGCAACCACCATTCTACTTTCAATGGGTATAAATTTTCTTTTTGTTTTGTTTTTGAGTTAGGATAGCAAGATAGAGAAGTGTAGTATGGTCCTGCAAAAAGATGGCACACAAGTTTGAGGAGCGTTCCACATTTATTACTGCATAGCATTGCTTATATGAGAAGTTAAATTGTAAATGAAGAGTAAAAAGCTAACCTTTGGAGTAGGGAAAGGGATTCAGGGGAAGGGAGAGGACAGAGCAGTGGTGGTGAACCTGTGGCGTGCGTGTTACTGTGTTTTTCGTTTAAGATAAAAGACGTTAATGTATAAGTTGGTTTTTCTAAACTAAAATCTCAGTATTCAGGTTTAATTGCAGAATTGGCACTTTGAGATAAATAAGTGGGTTTGGTGTTGCAGTTTGGGCACTCCTTATCCAAAAGTCACCATCACTGGAAGGGGAGAAATGGGATTGAAAATAATCAAGATATAAATATATCTATATAGATATATGTCCCAAAATAATGTATTTTATTTTGTTTTTCTGAGATTCCTTATGTAGTTCATGCTGGCCTTGAACTCACTATATAGCCCCAGTTGGCCTCAAACTCACACAGATCCTCCTGCCTCAGCTTTCAGATTGCTGGGATGACAAGCACACACTACCACATCCAGTGGAGAATGTAAATAATCTTGTTTTGCAAACATATATCAAAGAAACACAAAAGCAAAAGTACCTTAGCAAGGTGTGGCATATGTCCCTGTCATCCCGGCTACTCTGGAGACTGAGGCAGGAGGATCATAAGTTTATTCAAGACCAAAGTGAACAACTTAGTGAGACCTTGTCTCAAAATTTTTTTTTTGTTGTTTTGGCACCAAGGATCAAACTCAGGACCTTGTACTTTTGAGGCCGGCATTGGAACCACTGAGCTAACCCCCCAACTCTTGTCTCTAAATTGAAAAAGGGCTGTAGCTGTATGTCAATGCTAGAGCATTTGCTTAGTATGCATGAGGCACTGAGTTTCATCCCTGGTACAAAAAAGGAAAAGAGAGAAAGTGGGGGGGGTGAGCAAATTCTCCTATGTAATAATAGTATCAAATTCAACATTTGTCATAGTACCCATCTAACACTGTTATAAAACTATCATCTAATCTATATTGTGTGTGGTAGTTTTCCCAATTGTCCTAATAGCATGCTTTGCCACTGTCTCTGCTCCACCCAGAATCTCTCTAAGTCCCTAAATTGCCCAGGCCAGGCTTGAATTGGGATCCTTCTCCCTCAGCCTCCAGAGAAGCTGGAACTGCAGGCGCACACCACCATGTCTGGCTTGGGCACTGCATTTTTTGTTTGTTTGTTTGTTTTGTTTGTTTTGTTTTGTTTTTTGAGACAGGGTCTCACTATGTAGTTGAGACTGACCTGGAACTCACTGTGTAGCCCAGGCTGGTCTTGAACTCAGAGCGATCCTCCTGCCTTGGCCCCCCGAGTGCTGGAATTACAGGCGTGCGCCACCACACCCAGCTAGGCAATGCATTTTTTGACAGGAAAACCACAGAAGCAATACCATGTCATTCTCAGTGCATCTTCTCAGGTGGCACATTTGTCCTAACCGATTTGTCCCAGGCTGTTGACATTAGCTTCTATCAGCCACTTAGGGGACTGTCTGCTAGGTTTTTCCTTAACATTATCTTTTTCCTCTATGAGTAATCTGTGGGAAGACACTTTGAGACTAAATAATAGACTGCTCCTCCTCAAAACTTTCACTGGATGGCGTAGGCCTCTACTGCAGAGCCTTGCCGGAATCTGGTGTATAACATTCCAGGCTCATCAAAAACTTCAAGAAGGCTGGGCCTCTCTGGATCCTGAGAGGGGTGGGTTGAGGAGCCTACAAGGCTGATGGTGGACAGAGAGCTCTAGCTGGACACAAATTCATCTCTATAGTGGCTGAGGATGATCAGGGACCCACAGGGCTCCGCAGTTTGGGGAAAAACTGAGGCCAGTAGGAATTCATGCCCTCATCCCACAAATATGTAAGGAAGGCCCACTTTGAGCCAGGCACTGTTTTAGGCCCTGAGGCTCAGCAGTGAACAAAAGAGATCAAATCCCAGCACCGTTGGAGCTGATGGGAGGATTCAGAAGAAATACAAAAATGGAAGAAAAACTATATAAGCTATGTTTTACTATGCTTGGAAAAGACAGCTAGAGCTCAGGAAAGAGATAGTAACAGGCGTCCCTTCTAGGTAAAAAAATTCTGCTCCCTCTCCCACTCATCTCCCCTCCAGTGGGTCTCTGCGCCTGTCATCTGCCAGAAACTCTGGCTGAGCCAAGTGCACTCACAGACGCCATCTGTTCTCCCCAGGAGCGGGGCCTGTGCCAGCTCTGGCGTCTGGACTCTTGGCACGGTGCCCCAGAGCCCTGGAGCGAGGGAACTCCGGCTGGCCCCACATCGGGCTGGGGAAGCCTCTCGTCTGGCCAGACGGAGGGCTTCTGAAAAGGGAAGTCCAGTGTGAGCTGGGTGAGCTCCCCGAGGGAGGTAGGGGCTTGCAGGATGAGGAGAGCTCTCCATTCTCCCTGATGAAGATGCATGTCAATAACAGCATTCATCAACACCTCATCCAGGGTCAGAGGGCTTACATCGCACCCCCCTGGGTAAATGTCAGACACCGGTGATCACACCTAGTCTAAGTGCTTTCTGTATGTTACAGTATCTAAGAGGCAGGGAGTCTTTCTCCATTTTTCAGATTAAGAAATGGAATTCAGAGAGGTGAAGCCATGGGGCTGACGTCACACAGCAAGGCCCTTGATGAGCCTGGAAGGGAACCAGGTCTGGGTGGGTCCAAACCCTGACTCTTGAACATCGTCTTTACCACCTGGTGATCAGTGCAGCGTTGCTTACCAGGCCCCACTTCTCAGCTTCCTTTTCTGGGAAGCCCTAACTCTACCACTTTCCTCTTCTTCCTCTCCTCCTCCTCCTCCTTTTATTTGTTTTTGTTTTGGTTCGGCTTGGCTTTCCAGGCAGGGTCTTACTATGTACATAATTCACTGTGTAGCCTGGGCAGGCCTCAAACTCATGGTGATCCTCCTGCCTCAGCTTCCCCAGGGCTGACAGAAGTGCATGAGCACATTCAGCTCACCCTGCCTTCTGCCTTTTGCTACCTCCCCTCCCCTTAGGTCAGCAAGGAGCTCAGTCCTGGGTTACAATCTGCTGGTCCTGGTACCAGTTGTTTATCTTAGCCACTAAGCCTCCTTTCTCCATCTGCAGATTAGAGATAAAAGCAGAGCTACTGAGAGGAATGATTGACAGGCTGAAAGCAAAGCACTGAACACAGGGCCTGGGCCTTGTCTTTGACCTACCTGTGAACACAGCGGTGTGCTCTTAGGCAAGTTACCTAACCTCTCTGTTCCTCTTTCCTGCTGAGTAAAACAGGGATAATAAATGACAGTGCTTCTTAGAATTGTTCTGAGGAATAAATGTTTTTTCGTTTTTGTTTTTTTGTACTAGGGATCGAACTCGGGTCTTGGCGCTTGCGAGGCAGGTGGCTGAACCACTGGGCTAAATCCCCGGCCCACTGACGAATAAATATGAACGTGTGAAGCACTTAGCAGGCGCAAAGCCATAGTTGTTGTTATTATTATTGGTTATTATTGGGCAGCAAGGGTTGTGGGAGGGGAGGCGGGGCCAAGCCAGGAAGGCCCCGGAGAATCAGGGACGCCTCCTCCCGCGGTCAGCAGCGCTTGGGCCTGGACTCTGGCTGAAGGGGCTGGAGTCTCCGGGACCCGGTTCGAGGCCCCCACCCCAGCGTCCGCGAAGGGCGGGGCCAGGAAC